CCTCTAGACGCTCTGAAATGGCACTCTCAAATGGTGAAAATGCTTTTTAAAAGCATGCTCTTCGACAAAATTGTTGACTTTCTCCCGACCGGTGTTACGCTCCCCCTCCCTTAGACACCCCTCCACTCACGGGCATTGCAAAGGTCTAATCAATGACCTATAGTCTATTCTATATTGGGAGTTGCAAAGCAAATTATGATTATGACACCCCCGGATGCCCAGAAAGGCACTCATTCAAACTTAACATTTGATTGATCTCCATTTTTATGATATATGTCCTACAATCGATGTCAGTGACAATTATGCTGTTCTGTATCAATAAAGCCCTTTGGATGGGGATGCTATACAGCGAAGACCCTACTGGACCCTATGGGTAGGGGCACCAAAGGAGTCCCTAAGGGTTTGGTGGAACTTGGAGCAAATTTTAAGATTAGGCCCCTTTGACGCTCGGAAATGGCACTCTATCAGACGGTAAAACCTACTGTGCGCTTGAGTCTCTATATACTTTTGGAAAAGTACTGTACAAAACTTTCCTAGAGTACGCACCTAACAAGGAAAATAATTGTATTTTGACGAGCACTGTCTTTTGGTATACCAACATTCTAGAACCCCTGTTAAGTCAATAATGCTATCAATGAATCACAATGAACAGAAAAAAGAATGAAAGAGACGGAACGTGGCGGCACAAAATCGATGTAATGCTAAGATTGTATGATATGAAAAGAGGGCTAACGACAAAACACAGTGATCAAAACAATAGGCCTATAAAGAGCCAGAACTTGGTGGCACAGGGAGTTCTGTACGACTTGAATAGGACAATCGAAAGGTAAACAGTGTTCTTTGCTTCACTGTATATTATGTAAATTTAAGTACAATAAAACCCAATAGACGTATTATTGCAACATAGTATTAAATAACCTAAATTAGTTGTATTTACTTCTATGATTTAACAATGGGCTTCATCTACCATGGGTAACAAATCAGGCATCAGGACTTCTGCAATCATTAGAATTTTACTGTTATATGCGGATGACTCGGCAGGTAATGAACTCGAATATTTGTAATGGGGTTGAGGGAAAATAAACTTCCATTGCATATGGGAAATACAGATTTTATACTGTTTTCAAAATCTTGCGATTTTTTTTGGTAATTCTGTTTACAGGTGTAAACCCTACATCATACAAATGCTTTTTTTCGCTTATTTGAAGCACACAGTGAAGTATTGAACCACGGAAAGCACTTTATTTTGGAGCTATTCATTCTATTTATGGCCTACATCATCTTGCTCATTTTCAAACCACCCCGTGCACATTACCCAGGGGTTAAATTGTTGTCTTTACTTTAATGGAAATGTATTCATCTAACTTTCAATATAATAATAATAATAATAACAATAATAATAATAATAATAATAATAATAATAATAATAATAATAATAATAATAATAATAATAATAATAATAATAATTTGCAATTTGTATAGCGCCTCCCGTTGGACCAACCTCGAGGTGCTTCACAACAACGAAAGGAAACGGACAAGAGAATAAAAAAAAACCATGAACCTAGACTAACAGCACTCTAAACGCCTAAACGAACCAAACCAACACCGCACCGTTTATCGGCAATTTAAGGCGTAAAGCGCGACTCACAGGTGCTCAAGTGATGGCGGTGTCTAGGTAAGCAGTTAATAGGAAAAGAAGGAAAATAAACAAAATAGTGGTAAAAAGTATCTTAAAGGAATTCAGCAAAACTTTCAGTGAAGAGGTGAGTTTTGAGTTGTGTTTTAAAAAGCTGAAGTGAGTCGGCGTTCCTGATTTCATCTGGAAGTGCATTCCATAAGGTAGACGCCGCAGAGGTGAATGCCCGTGAGCCGTATGTGATTGTAGTGCTTTTCAGAACTTTTAGAAGATTCTTAAAAGCGGATCGGAGAGAGTGTGTTTGCGTGTAAGGAGTGAGCAGTTCGGTGATGTATTCTGGAGCGAGATTGTTCATTGCCTTGTATGTTAACAGCAATGTTTTATAAGTAATTCTTTTGTCGACAGGAAGCCAGTGAAGATCATATAGTATAGGTGTAATATGGATACGTCGCTTAGTTAAGGTAACCAGACGAGCAGCAGAATTTTGAATACGCTGTAGCTTAGCTATTTGTGTCTTGGGTAGTCCAGAGATGAGACTGTTGCAATAGTCGAGCCGTGAATTGAGAAAGGCATATATCAGACGTAGAGTAGTGGGTTTGTCGAGAAACTTTCTGATTTTTTCAATTTTACGGAGAGCAGCACAGGAAGAGCGACATACAGCATTGATATTGGACTTCATTTGTAGAGTAGAGTCGAGTATTACACCAAGGTTACGGACCTCTGACTTTGGTTCGACCAGAAACTGATATGGTTGTAGAGACATGGCTTCAACTGCTCGAAAGCATGAAGAAAAACGAATTAATTCTGTTTTCTTGACATTGAGGTGAAGCTTGGTAGCTAGAGAACATTGTTGGACACAACCTACACACTGGTTAAGCTTAGTGAGTGAACTGGAAAGTTCACTTTGATGGAAATCGATGTATCTGTATGTCATCAGCATACGTCATGCAGCGTAGATTATGAAATGAAACATCTTCAAGTGGGGTGATATATACAGTGTGAATAATAGGGGTCCAATAACAGACCCCTGCGGGACCCCATAAGAAAGACTATGTTTGGCCGAGGAGACATCTCCAATGACGACAGATTGAGTTCGACAATTGAGGTTAGTGGCGATCCATTGGAGTGCCTTGCCTGTAATACCGAAGTGACTAAAAAGTCGGTGCAGAAGGATGGTATGATCGACAGTGTCAAAAGCCGAAGAAAAATCCAACAGGACGAGCAAGGCGTCGTGGCGCTGGTCAATTGCAGTCAGCAGATCGTTGTTTTGAACACGGAGAAGAGCTGTTTCTGTGCTACAAAATTGACGATAGGCGGACTGCATTTTTCCTAGGAGATCGTTTTCCTGGAGGAAATATTTAAGTTATGAACACACAATCCTCTCGAGTACCTTAGATAGGAACGGAATGTTGGAGATTGGCCTAAATCTAGACAAATCCTCTGGATTCAGGTTATGTTTCTTAAGGATGGGTGTTACATGCGCATGCTTGAGGTTGGTTGGAAACACACCAGTCCTGAGAGGTTCATTCACAATATGAGTTAAGATTGGTGAAAGCTGGTTGTGATGACCTTTCAAGAGAAGTGTAGGAATGGGATCAAGTTCAAAGGATATATTTCGTGATGCCTTAATCACACTTAGAATATCATCAGATGTAACACAATCCCAGTCACTGAGGCTCGAAGGTGGGTGCTTGCTAGGAGGGCGGGGCAAAGAAGTGTGAGTGCCAAGAAACTCCTTTTGAACATTCAAAATCTTGTTGTTAAAGAAAACTGCGAATCGCTCAGCAAGATCACTTAAGTTTATGTGGGACGGTAAAGTGGGACTGGTTGACGCAGCAGTTAGCTCGTTAATGAGTTAAAACAAATTGCTCTGGTCACATGATTTAATGAGATTCCTATAATGTTCTTGTTTGTATTTTGTAATTAATGAGTTATAATGTCTGCAGGCTATGTCAAACAAATCCTTGTGTATGGCGAGTTGGTCTTAGGTATATAGTACAGTTTGCTATGTAATCCAGCAAGATTGTTGTGCCAAAATGGATTTTATTGGCTAACTTTTTTGGTGTGCTGAATAAAAAAAATTAGGTGCCATTTCTTTTATCACGTCATCAGCCGCCAGTTTGAATTTAAAGATGGCCGACACACCATACCTTCACGGCGTGCATACAATACTCCAGTGAGTCGTCGCCGGCTGAGTTACTTTTTAGGGCTAGGCCTAAGTAAAGAATATTATTCATGGCAAATGCTATCGCAGCATGAAAAAAAAAATAAATAAAACGAATCTCCCCGTTCGTTGCAAGAGTATTATTTTACTGTTATTTTGAATCCAAAATTAAATCATAGGATGTTTGTAGTTACTTATAATGATCATCATATGACATAACAAATATTATTATTACGTACTGGCATTAGGATGTACCATACAAAATAGGCCTATTATCACCAGCCTGTTTCCTAGACCAAGTTTGGTTGAGCAATTAGTCGACTACAGATATATCTCCTTCCTTCTCCGGGCCATGGTGAAGGTGGAGGTGGAGCATATTGCTCCAGTGGAGTCGTCGCCGGCTGATGTAATTTTTAGGGATCTAGGCCAGATGGTCGAAATCCAGTTTGCCGAATGCCAGATTGCCCAGACCACTTTGCCGAATTCCAGTTGCCGAATCCTAGTTTGCCGAGTACCAGTTTGCCGAGTCAAAAACAATGAATCCCAGTCGGCCGAAACCCAGTTTGCCGAAAGTCAATTAAAACAGTGAAACATTAACCAGGGGCGGATCCAGAGATGTCCAAAAGTGGGGACCGAAAGTGGGGCCGATCGAGGTGACCCTACCCTAGGGGGTCCAGGGGCAATCCTCCGCGAAATTTTTGTGTTCTTGTCGTTTTTTTTCTTTTCTCTTTTTTTTTCTCCATTTATTTTTACCTTTCAAAACCGGGTGGGGGGCTGGGCCACCTAAATCTGGCCCTGTTAACTTTCACGATGGAGTACCGGCATGCTCTTACCATGGCTGCATCTGTATAGGCCGGTTCCCACTGAACGCGATCAAGCGAATTTCGCGTCTAAATGTGGCGCGCGCGGTTGAATCGAAGACGCGACTGGCGTTTCCAATGTGAACATGCAAACGAATTTGTAGTCGAACACGCGAACGCCCAATATTCGAACTTCGACGCGGTGCGCGCGGTGGTCGCGGAG